ACTCTTCTTCTTCTGGACTCAGCTGTATCCATTGCAGTCTTAGCAGATGCACTGTGTGAAAAATGATGCCCTCCCAAAATATCTTCAAGTAACCCAAGGATTATATTGAGAATAGCTTTTACCTCTACTCTTCAAAGACACCAGTTTCAATCTGCAGCTATGCTATGGGGGCGGAGACAGAAAGTGCTGCTGTAAAGAGATGAACACCTTATCCATTCTCTAGTAATTTCCAGATTAGATTACTGTAACATGGGGCTGCCTTTGAAGACTATTGGGAAATTGTACATAATCCCAAATACAAGTATCCTAAAACTGGCAGTGCTAACCGGTACTGGCTGTTGGGAATTTGTCTTGGTGGTTCTTCAACATCTTATTTGCCTCCTGTTCCGTTTCTGAGGACATTTCCAGGTGCTGGGGCTTATGTAGTCAAAGAGAGCTCTCTTATGGAAATAGCTATAGAGCAGGGATGGGGAACCTGTAATCCTCAATATATTTATGGGACTTCAACTCCCATCAGTCCTGATGACTGGCTGTTCTGGCAAGGGCTTGAGCTGGAGCCCAACAACAGGTTGGGGACTGACAGGTTCCACATTCCTGCCTCAAAGTATCTAGGTGGAGAGTCAAACAGATTTAAAGGAGCATATTGACAATCCTGATGGGAAAAAGGAATAGTCACACTTTCCCCTAAATATCACTGTTGCACATCCAGTTTCTAGTCCTATCTGTGATTTTGTTCAAAGAAAAGTCATGGCAATTCAGTATTTCGGTGCAAACATTTCCAAATACAGTCATACCTCGAGTTGAATGTGCTTCGGGTTTCGCGCGTTCAAGTTGTGCTCCACGGCAATCCGGAAGTAACGGAGCGCATTACTTCCAGGTTTCGCCGCTTGCGCATGCGCAGACGCTCAAAATGACGTCACGTGCATGTGCGGAAGCGGAGAAACGCAGATGCGATGTCGCATCTTGCGTTCCGTTCAGGATGCGAACGGGGCTCCGGAACGGATCCCGTTCACATCCCGAGGTACCACTGTATACACCTATTGTATATAATGTAGTCTAATATACACATCTTTGCAAAAGGAGTTCCCCATTTTTGTATGCTATTTTCACAAATATGTGCATTTCTAGGCACACTTTACCTTACTATATCCATATTTATGCACATTGTTTGACTGGAGAACTGCATTGCAAAATTCAGACATGCGCCCATTTTAAAGGATGGCTATGTTTCAGTTCCCACATAGCTTTGAAAGTGCAGATCAGGCAGGTTTGCCTATACAGTGGTACCTCGGTTTAAGAACAGTCCTGTTTAAGAACGATTCGGTTTACAAACTCTGCAAAACAAGAACGATTCGGTTTACAAACTCTGCAAAACCAGAAATAGTGTACCAGTTTGAGAACTTTACCTCAGTCTAAGAATGGAATCCGAACGGTGGAAGGGCACTGGTGGCGGGAGGCCTCATTAAGGAAACTGCACCTTGGTTTAAGAACGGTTTCGGTTTAAGAACGGACTTCTGGAATGGATTAAGTTCGTAAACAGAGGCACCACTGTAGATGTGAACTGAATCAAATTGCCCCCCCTTCCTACTTCCAGGCAAGCATGGCTCGGATTGCCACCTTCTTTTTGCTCATGCAAGCCTTTCCTGTTCTCATAACCTTTTCCAGTGTGTTTGCTGATATTGACTGATAATGACCTCTAATTCTGTTATTGTGACATTTGTGTTTCCTAATTACCTGCTAACTACTTTTCATTCTGTACAACAAATGATAAATATGTTTTGCCTCGCAAGCACAACTTCCATTCGCCTTCCTTCCCTTGCAATTTATTCTATACTACTGCAGGCTGAGTTTGTTTACTCTAACACTGTTTTTATTATCCTTGTCCAAGATGACTTTATGATTATGAGTTCCCCTGGAGTCTGCTCTGGGTTCTTTGTTGCTTGCCTGCATTCCCCTGCATTGCTTCAAGTCATAATGCCTCACAATATGCGGCTTCCGAATGGACTGCTGTGTAAACAGTATACATGTTTATTTCTTCTCCTTACAGGGGCTTACCTTGACATTTCTGCTTTAGATGCTGATTCAGTGGCAAAGACCAAACTCAAGCAGATCACAGAAAATAATTATCACTGACATTCCAGAATGCCGGTTAAGCTCCACAGTACCTGCAGACAAGCCAATTACTTGCCTTTATCTGTTCCTGCTTGAAATGCTTTTTGGACTGATCACTGAAGGTGTGCTATGTAAACCCCATGCAGTGGCCATATGTTCAACATCAAAGTTCTGTTAATTTCTTGTTCATTGGTGATGATATTTTACAATCTATTTTAATGAAGATCTTATCCGAGCGATTTGTAAAACTTCGGGCTTTTTGTTTATCTTATCCTTGCTCCTTTGGAAGCAATGCTGTTTCCTTTCTGCATGCAATACATGGAGGGGTAGCTTTGCTGAAGTGTGGAGAGAATAGACTCTTTGTCCTCCCTCCTAGAACTCAGCTAACATAACCTAGGCTGCTCAGGTCCTCTGTGATAACACCAATGTGGTGGTAATCCTCTGTGATACCTAGACCAACATTAGGCTAAGCAGCTGTGTTCGTCCTGCCTCACTTTGAGGAAATCGGCTGCTCCAACATAGTTAACTGGGAAGAACAGGGCATGTTTGTAGTGTGTTTCATTGAGACCAAAATATAAGCTACACATAGCAGGGGCGTTCCGAGGTGGGGGTGGGGGGCGGTCCACCCCGGGTGCCATTCCAAAGGGGTGTGTGTGAAAAAACGCCGACCCCCAATCAGTGGCACCCCCGGGGCACACACCATGCCCCCTGGGATGTGTGCCATGCCCCTGGGATATGCGCCATGCCCCCTGGGACAAGCGTCACACCCCCTGGGACAAGCACCGCTCTGGGTACCGGAGAAGGTTGCTTTGCCTCTGACACATAGTCGCCTTCAATGCAGCTCTGTGAATCTTGGAACCTGCCAAGCCTTTCTCATTCCAATCTTAGTCAAATCCAGAAATTTCAAACAAGAGTTAATGGCATTCCTATGCAGAGATAACAAAGGGGCATCTTTATGTGGGTCTCCAAGAATTAACTCTACAAATTCTTTGTGAATCGAATTGTTGGTAATAAATAGCCGAGTGTTAAAAAAGTGACAGATGGGTTAGAGTGGCTAAAAGGGAGACCGTATAGACTTGGAAATCTTGTGCCCTTTCATATATTGGATGCCGTGTAATAAAACATCTATATTTAGGCTTGGTCTGATTCAGATGTAGTGAGAAAGGATGCCTTGCACTCTGTAAAGCGCAGTGGTGAGCAAAGGTTCCATATATACTCATGCTTCTTCTTCCTCCTCTTTTGCACTTATGAGGGGAAAATAAAGCTTTCGCTAACATTTTTTAAGAATCTTAGTTCTTTGTGATATCCAAACTTGGGGAAATGTGGTTTGCTTAGTGAGAACTAAGGATATATCAACATAACTCAGGTTTGATATTCATTTGTACTTCCATCTAGTATTTTCCATTCCTCTGGAACTGATTTATTTTGTGCAAGTCTTTCTTTCATCTTGTCACCCACATATGTATCTCATAATGCACAATAGACACACATATCTTGCCTATCAACATATATTTACAAATCAGTTACCTTCCCTGTGTGTTCCTTTCAAAGTTAACTGATTTTGCTGCTCATCTTTTGCAGCAAAAACAACGCAGACTCTTGTGGTACCTTTAAGAAAAAGTTAATGAAGTGGCTAAAGGCCCGCCACAATTCTAGCCATGTCCATTCAGAAGTCCCATTGAATTCAGTGGGGCTTACGCCCAAGGAAGGGGGGGGGTTAGGATTGCAACTTGTTATGCCATTCTGTATTCTCCCCCATCAGTGGTGCATCAGGGAGGGACAGTTTAACATTGTGTTGATCTTTCATTGTTTTTGTCCTGGATTGTATGCATTAGTTGTTATGCTATTTAGTCACATCTTTTTTTATTCTAACTTTTATTTCATGAATGTGTGTTTTATTCATAAAATAAATTTGGGTGCCTGCTGAAACATAACACCAAAGCTGATTTATGTTTTAAATATTGAGATTGTCTGAGAGTGGGGTAAGATTTAAAACAAAGATTGACAGGTTGGATGTGAATCCAGTGAATCCACTGAGGAGCATAGGTAACAGAAGAGATCACTTCTTTCCATGTGAAAAGAACAAGAATGAATGATGTATTTCATGGGTTTTTAAAATTCACAGCAGGAAGCAGATTAGGGCTGCAATCGTAACTCTCTTTTTGTGTGTGTGTGTGTGGGGGGGGCAAGCAATGGGTCTTCTAAATACATATTGTTAATATTTCAGCCTGAACACATATAGGCTGCTTATAGCAATGAAACAACTTATACAAAGTCAACAAACAGCACTTCAGAAAAAAACACACAAACCCAATGCACCTGTTGGGGGAGCAGCATTGGTACACCAATGAATATGTAAATATCATACATTGCAAAGCAATTAATGTATCTATTTACATAAAATGTGTGCATGTTAAAAACCTGTTTGCTGCAAAGAGCTAAAGCAAAAAGTGTGTACATCAAAAGTCTGTGCCATGGTGGGGATTTAATGGGTAGACAGAAGGAAATCTGTTTGACAGTTCATTTTCAAATGATTCCTCTGACATCCCTAGTGAGAACAAGCCATAATCAAGCTCCGGCTTCAAATATTGGCTTGTTCTGAAACCATAGTTTAAACAAACCACAGTTCCCCAAGTACGGCCATCATCCCCAAGCATGGTTCTGAACGTCTCTTGGCTGTGAAAAAGGAGGGGAGAAGCAGTAAGAGAGGAGGAATGAAGGTGCAAGTCCAAAGCTCTTTATAGATCATTCGCATAGCAGGGAAACATGGTTTTCCACTGTATCTAAATCAGTCTTAGCATCTAAGGAATATATATACAATCAAAAGCCTTAGATAAATTAAATGGTGTGTGGATAAGTGGCTTTTCTACCTATTCACTAAACCTTTGTATCGATTCAGATTTCTTCTTTTCTTTTGCTTTATTTTCAGTTTTCTTTTACTTTCATACTGATTGTTGCATTTTATCATACACTGCATGTAGAATTAAAATACTGATTTATTTATTTCTTAAGCATGAAAAGTCCTCTGTGCTGTGTTGATCCTTTTGTTTTAATCTTTTCATGTCCTGTTATTTCTCCTTTTGTATAGAAATTAACACTGTTTCCTGCTAAAAACAACGAGGCTTTATCATGCCCATTATGCACAATGCTCCAAATAACATACTGAGACACTAATCCACTGGCCTTTCAGCTAAACGGCTACTCCAATAATCACCTTGAGGCAATGCTGACTTAACACCATAATTATAATGAATCAAAGAATGATTACAAGCCTTTCCCTCTCTCTAATTTCCTATCCTCAATTCCCTTGTCTGCACTTCTGTTTTCCTCTAGAGCTCACTGCCGGTGCTCAATAATATCCGTTTGTACCAGAAAAAGGATGAAATACTTATTCATGCTACTGAATGATCAACATCTCTGCACAACAGTTTGATGGCCAATTATCTTGGCTCAGACCCATTTTTTAAAAAAGCAGTAAATGTTAATTATGACTTCTCTGGCAAGTGCTCCTCATAAGATTCAATTCCTGAGCAGCCAAGAATAATGAAGGATGAAATTCTTCACACTGTACTGCAGCAGTCTTCCAAAAGAAAGTAATCTCAATCCAGGATGGGGGTTCTTTTCCAAGAAGCAAGCAGAGCTCCTCGCAGGATCAGGAGCCCAGTGAGTCTGACTTCTGCATGTATAGATGCCATTTAGGGGTGCCTGTTGATGAAGAACAAAAAATGAATTGGTGATCAGATGATTGGTGTGATGATCTATAACAGAATAAGCCACACACTGCAGGAGGTATAGAGGAGACTGAATGCACATTCCTCTTTCCAGCTCTGTTCTACATCAAAGAGAGGGGAAATTCAAATCTCCAATGCTTTTCAAAGAGCTGGTCAGCGCTGGCAAATCTGACAGCAACAAGCATCCCTTGGACAGGTAGGCAGATGTAGATTTGTGCTCACAGCTGCTCATGCCCACTCTACTGTTTTGCACGTGGATTTTCTGCATCAAGGCAAATGCTCTTTGTACAGACTTCTGCCTGAATGCTATGAAACATTAGCAAGTCACTCCAACTTTCCTCAGTGAAAGAAGCACCCTCAACCCCTCTTCTCGCTTCGACCAGTAAAAAAGCAAGGAAGTTATGAAACATGACCAAGTGAAAATTTGCACAAAGCTAAAAGCAGGGGTGCCAACTTGAATAAAATATTGTGGGGGCCCAGGTAAGCCTCGCCCCACATAAACGAAAACATGATGCAGTGCACCCCCACCATTTGAATGGGAATACCCATTAACTTTCTGGGGACTCGGCCCCCTGAAATATTTTATTGTGGTTGGCTCCTGTGGCAAATTGGAAGCATAGAGGACTCAGCTACATTAGTCAAAAAGCAATGCTTTTAATGTGTTATAAACATGCAACACCAGATGGCACCAGAGAGAAAATAAAAATAAAAATCTAAGTGATTTTTACATAGCGTTTTTTCTTTTGTTATAATGATTTAATGGTTGATTTATTTATAGTGTTTTTTTCCCCTGTGTGAAGAGCCAACCAGAGTTGAAGAGAGCAGAATGCTATCTAGGCTAGTCGCCTACTTCAAGTCTTTTCACCCAGAGCTCCCTTCTCCTCCTCACAGATCGATCCAAGCAGATCACAATGTGCTGGAATCATAGTGTAAGTGGAAGACATTTACAGAACAAGTACAAGAGAAGAAAAACATGGCGCTATGTTGAGAAAGCTCTACAATCCAAATAAAATAAAATATGGAGTATCTATTAAAGTAACATACATACATGCTTTTATATATATGCCCCCTTTCCACAGTTCAAAACATGCTCAAGGCGGCTTGCAACATGAAAAGAGCACATGGGATGCTCTTCCCCTCTCCTCCCTCCATTCCCTTCCTGAATCTGTTCTAGAGAATCTGTTCTTTAACACTCTGGAACAGATCTGGGGAGTCTGTAGGGGTGTTGCGGGGGCGAGGGAAGAAGTCCCATTGTGCAAGTGGAAATCCTTACACTGACGGGACGTGGTGACTGACTATTTCTCATATACTCCCCCGTTTTGGGGGAATTCTAATTTGAAGAGATGCTATTTTTAAGCAGAAAAAATAGCATGGGGAAAGGATTACACTCCCTCTCCCCTGGTGCGGGGGTCCTAATCTGATTCAGGCCTCTAAACCAACAGGTCATCTTAATCACAGCTCTGCCACATCACAACTAGCTTGGCCCCGGAAGACCAGGGATGTGAAATCAGTAAACTCCTGGACTTCTTTTAAAGCTTTGCTAACACTTACGGCTGAGAGAAAAGCTGACTATTGTGGGATGGGGAGTAGAGGGTGGAACCCTGAAGGCTAAGAAAGCAGAAAAGCAGAAATTAATCATGAATGTGTTTATTTTAAAGAAAATCATTATCTTACGACCGATTTGTGATTGAGTTTCTTTTAACTCATCTAATGGCCTTTAAGAATCAAATCCTTGTGTTGGTAGCAAAACGATTGTCTGAGTGATTCATCCAGATGCAGTGAAACATTAGAACCACTGTAGAGGCAAGCAATTTCAGGGCAGGGGGAGTCAGTGATGTAATTAATTACAGCTAATTATGATTTGCATTGCTATTCAAGCCATGGAGCATTAATCTTTATAATAGTGGGGGAATCATTTTGAAGAAAACAGGTATCTGTTCGTAAGTAAACACTGCTGACATTCAAAATCTTTTTTGTAAACCGCTTCAATGTTTTTATACAGTCAAGTGTTGAATTAATTTTATGGAATCAACAAACAAATAAACAAATAAATAAATAACTGGTGGTTACTTACTGATGGGGAATGAGCATTCCCTTGGGGAAAAGGTGATGCTGGAAGCATGCAACCTACATTGCACAGGGATTGTTCAAACTGCAACCCAGCTGTGACATACATTATGTTCCTCTGCCTATTACGACCAACTGTGGAGATTCAGTCTAGTGTTAATTTCAATTACACCATCATTACTTTCTTGTCAAAGTTTTTACAAAATGGAATTATTTATATTAGTGGTACTTCAGTAGGCTTCCTTGTCTTCAATACCTAAAGAGAATGTATTATTTGTCTTTCTTGGGGAGAATTTTAATGTACAGTGGTACCTCGGGTTAAGAACTTAATTCATTCTGGAGGTCCGTACTTAACCTGAAACTGTTCTTAACCTGAAGCACCACTTTAGCTAATGGGGCCTCCCACTGTCGCCGTGCCACCAGAACACGATTTCTGTTCTCATCCTGAAGCAAAGTTCTTAACCTGAAGCACTATTTCTGGGTTAGCAGAGTCTGTAACCTGAAGCGTATGTAACCTGAGGTACCACTGTACTTATTTTATCTTCAGAGAACACCACCCATAAAGGAATACATAATAATATTACCAGAAAATATTTGAACAAGTGATCCATTAGTTAATCCAAATATGTGTTTGCCTTGCCCAAATTTCAATTTGCACCACTTCTTTGAAAGAAATTTCCCACTGTCTACACCAGAGATGGGGAAATTGGGGTCATCCAGACGTTGCTGAACTACAATTCCATACCCCTCAACTGTCCTGATTTGACCAGAATATCCTGGAATTACAAAAGCCATCCTGGCTTCTGACTGGATCCCAGGGTGTCTCATTTTGGCTCCTGAGCTCTGGTGCGAGTCAGCTGGCTTGCACCAGAGCACGGAACCAAAAATATGTGTATTTTCACAGGGTGGGAGAGGGGGCCCAAATGAGAAGGGGAATGGCCTCTATCAAGGTGTCTGGTGGAAACAGAGGTCACTGAGGTGGGTCGATGTATCTGCAGAGAAGGTGGGGAGGCGTTGGTGAGGGGAGTGTTTTTAAGTGTGTTGAGGAGCCAGGTTGTGTACGATTTTCATCAGTGGGATGTTGGAGGGTATGCAATTCCCTGCAATCATCGCTGATTGCTAGCTATGCTGGGGCTGTTAGGAGTTGCAGTATAACAACTATGGAGGTCCATAGGTCCCCCATTCCTGATGTATATCTATTTGCATGATGGAATGCATGCGTGTATCATATGCGCACACTGGTGGAAACCTTGGCTAACTGGGGCTTCTTTCCATGCGTACATGTGGCTACTGGGCCATGTACATACACCACATGTGGCAATGTACATTTTTAAAATTATTGAGAGGTTGCTACACTCCCTTTCACCAAAAATGACCACAAGGTGGTTTGAAACAAGGCCACATAAAACATAATAAGTAAGAACATGAAGAAAAAGTCTCATAAAAGACATAAAGAGCATAATTGGCAGCATTATAATGTTTTTAAAAATGACCTGATCAGCCTCTCAAAGCCTAACAAAAAGTTGATTTTTTAAACTGGATGTCTAAATGTATATGTCAGGGAACTGCCATCGGAGCCAGGGGGAGAGGGAGGGCTCCAGAGGGATTCCGGAGAGCGTCCCGGGAGGGAGAGAAGCAGCACATCTTCTGGGGAAGGAAATCAGTGTAGCACCAGTGGAGAAGGGGGCAGATGGGGGAATCGGCGAGGTGGCTCCATGACTCTTCGCCGGGGACCAGCGGGGAGAGCACGGGTCCTCCGCTGCCCACACCCTCCCTGCGCAGAAGGCTTCCGCGCAGGGAGACTAGGCGGAGACTAGGTGTCAAAGAACTTTTGTGCTGGAAGAAGTTCAAGAAACGCCCACTGACGGATCCTGCCAGCGATTGAGGCAGCCACTGGCGAGTGGCTGTCCGGACAGAAAAGGTTCACTCAGGCAACCCAGCCAGGTGGGGCGCCGATTTATGCACGAGCAACCCCTAGAACCATTACAGTGTATAAAGTTGGAACAAGACACATTTCAGAGAGGAGTTCATTCCATAGACACAGCCTAAGGCTGGTGCAGCTGGGAGAATTTTCCTGTCAGACAATCGTATAGACGGTCGCAAGTCATACTGAGGGTGTTTATTTTAGTGGTGCTACCAATTTTTCCCTGTTGAAAAAAACAGACCCATCTTTTTTCTACACTGCCTGTTTAAAAAAGCAGTCTTGTCTTTTTGTTAGAGTTTTATTTAAACCCCCCGAAAAGAAAGAACATTATTGATAGGTGTATTTATTGCAGTTGTCTAGGAATTTATTTGAGAATTATGATCAGTCTGATCCCTGCACAGAAAATGGTAACAGCTTTGCAAAAGCCAGACATCAGCCTGGGCCTTCATATTGGCCGATAGGTATTGACAGGACTAGCACCAGACAAGCTTGATTCACTTTGTTCAGGCCTTTGCTTCTCAGTGAAGCATGCTGGACTGTCAGCACACCATTCATCACAGTTACGGGTGTCAGCCACAGTAGATGAAGTAGCAGCTGCCACAGCATCAGCACGGGGGTTGGGGGGTGAGGAAAGCCAGTTTTCAAAATGGCGAATAGGGCAGGATGTAAAAGAGATCTGGCAGGGGAGAGGGGAACCTGGGGATGTCAGAAACTCCAAGTCTCCCTGTTTTCCAGGGACAGTTCCAGATTTATAGAAGCCATCCAAGTTTCTGATTTGATCCCAGAATGTCCTGCTTTTCCTTAGGACGTCCCTATTTTCACTGGAGAAATGTTGGATGTTATGGAGTTATGTGACTCCCAAGCCAAGGACATAGGTAACTATACAACCTTTAGAAGACATTGGAACGCAGTCCTATATAGGGAAGTTTTGTTTTTTAAAATGTTTCGTGTTTTATTATGTTTTTATATATGTTCGAAGCCGATCAGAGTGGCTAGCGCAACCCACTCAGATGGACGGGATATAATAATGATGATGATGATGATGATGATGATGGAAGTCCCTATTTTCATTGGATAAATGTTGGAGGGTATGGGATGTGTGTGTGTGTGTGGAAACAAAAGAACAATAACAGGATAGGAGAATACAGGGCCAGCCCAAGACATTTTGCAGCCTGAGGCGTCGCAGCATCAATGCTGCCCTCCTCCCCTGTGCTCATGGAGCATAGGAGTGCTCAGGGCTAGTCAAGTTGAAGCCAAAAATTCATCAGTACCTTCCCCTCACACTTCTTGGCAATGAAAAGCAACAACAAATTAAATAGCTAACATTTTGCCTCCCTTTCATGACACTCAAACTCTGTTGCCTCAGACACCTGCCTCACTCTGCCTAATGGTAGGCCTGAATACAAGCCACTAAGCTACATGGCAAGGATCCTCAACCTGTCAGGATATATAAACTGCTAATTTAGTAATGCAGGAAGCTTCCTTGTGTCAGGGTGCACTATTTTTGCTTCTTAGCTGTGTATTATGTACTCTGGCTAGCTGTGGCTCTCCAGGGTTTCTTAGGCCACATTCCCACCATACATTTAAATCTATTTATTGCATTCAGATCCCACTTTTTCCTCCAAGGAGCTCAAGGTGGCACACATGGTCCCCCCCCTTCCTTGTCTACTTCATACAACAACCCTGTGAGGTATGTTAGGCTGAGAGGCAGTGACTGACAGAGAAGTCACTCAGTGAGTTTCATGGCCAAGTGGGGATTTGAACTTTGGGCTTCCAGGTCCTAGTCCAACATTCTAACTACTACACCACACTGGCTCTCACATTTCCAGACTGGTTAACTATCAACCCCTCTTCACAGGGAACTCTGGGAACTGTAACTCTGGAAGGGGAAGGGGGATCTCCAAACAACTCTCAGCCCCCTGAACAAACTACTACATAATTCTTTTGAAGAAGTCATGATTGCTTAAAAGTGGTCTCAGATTGCTTTAAATGTATGATGTGAATGTGTAAGAGAGAAGCCTTCCTTATCAGATGCAGCCTTCAGCAGCTTCAAAACAGTCTTTAAGACATTTCTTCTTAAGTTGGAGAAGTTGGTATTCTCAGTGCTATTTTTATAGAAAAAGAGGTGCTGGAGCTCACCATGAACACCTCCCTCATTGTCTTAGAATGACAATGGCACCAACCTGGGAGGTGCTGGAACTGAATTCCAGTGGGAAAAAAGCCCTGGGTGTTGTTATTTAATTTATATTTATATGTATAATGCCAAAACAGGCTTCTAAAGGGTTTATAAAATACAAAACCCAGTTACATATTGGACTGGAGAGGAGATTCATTTAGTAAGTAAAACATGGGAAAGATGCATCTCTCTTGTATCATTTGTTTCATATGCTGCACAGATTTCCGGCAGCCTAGATTTTTCAGGGGTGTTTGTGTGTTTGCTTAATCTTGTTCGAAAAGCAGCCATACAGGGCCTTGATTAGATTCCATTGGCCTAAGGTTGGAAAGAACCTTCTGCTTTTCCCCATGGCATGGTTGCCTATTTACTCATGCTTGGCTTTTACTATTCCAGCCACCTCATGGGTATTGGCATTTCTTGTTTTGAATGTATGGAGGTAGTTTATTATTACTGTGATTAGTTTTCTGGGATTGACTCCCTGGCAAAGTGGGATTATATATGTGTTGCTTGCACCACAATGTCACAAGCAATCAGTCTACAAAAGAGACAGGCGAGGCGCAGAAGTGTGCCTCCAAATCAAACAGCTGTGGACTCAGCACAACAGCTTCAGAAGAAAGATGCTGCAGGCCCCATACTCAGCTGCACATGTGAGTTCCCTTAATAGTTTGTCGCTGAAGAAAATTACGGCGGCATTGGGGAATCCATTGTTGAAATGGATACCGCTTAGGGATGCTTGAGGAATTCAATTCTTTGTGAATTCCCATATGATCTGCACCTCCCAGGCTAATGTGCGGATCAGGATATCTCTGCCCATCACATGTCTTTCACTTCCTCATGTGTAGTTTGAGAGAATATATGTTTTAAATAGTCTTTAAATGTGATTCTCCTGTGTAGATTCTATACTGCCCCCCCCCCAATTTAATGGGACAATGGGTTGGAGTGGACTCAAGAGTGAATACATGTGAAAATGATGTGGAACACAAGTCCCTTGGACTGCTATAAATAATACTGTAATTGATATACTCAACTGGGAACATAGGACCACTTCATAGTTCCTTTTTTTTCATATGTGGGAGATTTGTTTCAACAAAAGGAAATGGTCACTTGCGAAGTGACTCGTGAAACATAATCTCATGTAAGTTTACTTGGAGTTAGTTTCTATTATGTCCAATGTGCCTTGCTGTGTAGAAAGTGAGTCCAGGACTGCTGCCTTGGTGAGCCATATGTCTGGACAGATATGCAACACAGGGTTATTGTGCCTAACCAACATATCACAGGTGAAAGAAACAGCCATGAAATGGCATTGGGTTGTCTCCAAAGCAGTGCCAGGAGAGTTCTGCTGTTGCAGCAGCACTTCCATTTCCTTTCCTCTTTCTGCTGGCTCGCCAACCCTCCAGATTTTGAGAATGTAGAGGGTGTTGCAAGGAAGAGGAGAGGAGGGTAACCTTCAGTTCTGCTAGCATAGGAACAGGAGAGTTGGATACCACCCTTTGTTCGCAGAAATCCTCCTAAAAATTCCTCCCTTGGGAGAATTTTGTATATTAAATATCTGGTACTGAAATATTTGATTGAATGCTTGTTATTGAACACATTGTACCTTCAGAGTTAAAGAAGCTTTTTTACTGTAAAATAGCATAAGTATTCATAGGCGACAGGCTACTTCATCAGATGCTGAACTGGAACATCTGATAAAGTAGGCTGTCACTTACATAGGCTTATGCCATTTTACAATATGAAGCTTCTAAAAAGTTAGACTCAAGGTGCCATCCAGCATGTCTTTATCTTTATTATAGAAGACTAACATAGCTTTCACAATATAAAATATTTGATGTCGAAAACTCTCCGGAAATCCTTTAGTTGCTCAAACACATGCCAAGGACTGTATTCAATATGTTTGGTCTCCTTATTTTACATCCAATAATATCGAATCTCAATATTTATTTTGATTTGAAGGAGATGCATAAGCTTTTGGTAAGGTGCAAGGGAGTAACGAAACAGCAATATGATGGAGCTTACAGATGTATACAATAATGGCTTTGCAGCACAACATTAGCCAATACATACCTAGGTGTGGAATAGCACAGAGTAGTTTTGAATTGTCTACCTTCATGGAACATTTCCCACACTGAATTGTCTGCCAATTACCGGTAGCTTCGAGCATCTGGCACAGAATGACACACCTGTGCACCACAGAAGATGCTGAGAGGCATGTCCTAGAGGGCACATTCAGCTCATGGCATTGTGCATTGTGAAATCATCTTACCACCACACATTATGCACCAGGGCAACTATTGTGTGCAACTTGCTTGTGGCCAGTATCTGTTAAAGTATTTGCCACAGGGACCTAACTCAGTGGTCAGAGAACTCTCCTCCATCTATTTTGCGGCTTTGCATATTCTCTTCTGATGGAACAACGACTGTTGCTTGTAGTCACAATATGGCCTTTAGGTTTCACTGTCTGCAGTAGAAACCATCAGCTTCTCCTTAATTTGACTTCTTGTCTGCTCAGCACATTGCAAGAACCCTTACTGCAAATAAATTAGCTTGGGCATAAAAGGTAAACATAGTTATTTTTAAATGGTACGTCTGAGCACGGAAATGGTGCACAGATGCTGCTAACACTCCCTAGTGGTAATGTGTCCTGATACTTAAGTGACATTTCAGCAGTTCATTGCCCTCATTAAACAATCCTTCCCCATTCTTCAAAGTTGCCTCCAGGAAAAATAAAGAGGAGAAAGAACTGAATAGATCAGAAGGTGTTTCAGATTCTAGGTACCAATGCTTTAGACTTCTCGGTATCCCCCATCTTGTACATTTATTTAAAGTAAAGCTGCAGCTTTTAAAATAATAATAATAATGTTGCAAAAGTTGGGTGCCACCCCCATCCTCTCCCAAGTGGTAGCAAGATTCTAGGGGGTTTCAGGTACTCACCCAGGGTTTGTGCTTAGGAGAACTGAAGATATGACAGAGACTGTCATAGCTTTAAGAAATATGATTTATTCACATATTTACACCTCCAGTCTACATGGAATTCAGATCTTACAGCACTGTCATATCAAGCAGGGTTTGTTCCCCATAGCAATGCAGCACTGGAGTCAAAGGCATCACTGCCATCTGCCTTCAGCTGATCTGCCCAAGATGGATCTCTGTTTGTTCTCTCCTTCTTCCCAGCATACCTTACTAAAGACTCTCTTATCCTGTCATTTCACACCCAGTTACCCTGGCAACCTCTGTCTGCCCAGGCCTAAAGATTCCTCTTAGATGGGCCATCAACACCTTTGGACATGTTAATGCCTCTATCCCAGGTGAGGCCCTGGCTTGGAAAGGAACCTTAGCCTATATTTTTCCACTGGCCTCCAATCTTCCATTCAATATTAATATAGGAGCAGCTATGAGGAGGGTTTTTAGCAACTGGGGCCTTGGCAGAACCAGACGGAGGGACTCTTTGGACACCAGCATTTGATATGGGGACTGGTTCACAAAGGATAAAATGAATGTAATAATTGTAATATTTGTTCATGCATTTCCAGAGGTGCTGGGTTGTAAACATTACATGAAGGCACACAGAGAGTGCAAATTTTCTGTTAACACATTTTTCAGAATACAGGCGATTCTACAAGAGCAGAGCACAATGGTGCTTATTGGAGCATCTGGAGAAGTAATATACTAGGCTTGATTGACCATTGATCTGACCCTGTATAGAAATTCTTATACTCTTGGCCCCAAGGTGTCTACTATACCTTTTGACTTTTAAGTTAAAGTGTCTAGATTTGATTTACCAATCTGCTTTTAGCTGGTTCCCTTGGTAACCATTTCAGGGATGTTACACACAGTAAATGTGCCCAGTCTACTTTTTGTATAATTTTTAGCTTATGAAATTGTGAATGGAATGCCAAAGTCATGCTTGCTTACCGAATGTGTTGAATGTGATTCAGTGTCTAAATTTCAGTGGCATATCACTTTAACTGTGGAAACTAGGAATACAAGTCCAGTCTTGTCATAAGAGTTTTCTATGGTCTTACATTTGTGAATTTTAGAGCTTGTGTGTGTGTGTGTGTGTGTGAGAGAGAGAGAGAGAGAGAGAGAGAGAGAGAAATATTTATGTGAATATACATGTTCAGTGATGGGAAACTTTTTTGGTTTTGTTTGGTTTAGTTTGGCTTGCATTTCCCAGAACAACACACAAACTGAAGCAGAGCTAGCCTTTGAAATTCACACTTCATCATACTTTGTGATGAAAATTCTTTAGCCAAAAATGGGTACAAAGATGCATAGTTAGAGGAGCGAGTGCACAAAATGCACATATTAGTGAAAATAACAAACAAAATTATGTTACATGAGAGGAAATGGTTTGTGAAAATGCGTACGTGATGTGAAGTTGCATACATAAATGTGTCTTTTAGGAGAAATGCATAGTAAATAGCTGATACATTTTCACGAGGAGTGAAAAGAATCTGATGAGGAAATGGGGAGAACTGAACTTTTGTTTTGAAAAATGTGAAACGGAGAGAAACCCAGTGTGAGATGTGCCACAATGTTTCCCCACAGTCTGCAGTCCTATCAAGGCAGCTACACAGAGTGTGGGAGTGTGGTCAGGAGAGACTAGACAGGGGGAAAGAGAGACATTAAAAGAAGGGGGAGGGAGGGAGAAAGAGTGGATGGGCTGGAGCAGGGGGGGAAATCAGCTAATTTGTGGAAAGTTATGAAGAGAGGTGAAAGACTGCAGTGGTGAACTGGGAAAAGAAGGAAGGATAGGCAAGATCTGCACCCAGCTAAGGGACCCCTTGATGAGAACAGGTGCTGTTTTTCTGGGAAGTTTTTTTAAAATATAAATTCTTTGTTTGATTTTTTGTTGATACACCGAGAAGAAAAAAGAAAAAAAGAAGAAAAACAGAAATACAAATGAAAATGAACACAATATTATTTACAAAACAATAAAGCAAAAATTGGTCTTTGAACTATAGACCCGACTTCCTGTCTATTCCTTACTTCGATTATATATTGCGTGTTGCCAATACACACTTTTATCCTAATTTGACTAATCCTTAATTTATCTTAGATCTGATGCCTTTCTTAAAGCTACTACTGAAATTCTGCGAATTCTGCGACAGAGTTTAAACTACTGTAATTATTTTTCAAATATACATTAAAGAACTCCCATTCTGGATTCTCTGGGAATTTAAGGATCCACCAAGTGTAATTTGAAGGGTTCAATCTAGGACTCTGGGGGATTCCCTGGGGAAATAAAAGTGCATTCTAGTCCCTCTGACATCGATATTGGCAGATTCGTCCACCCTTACATGTCACTTTTCAGTGTGGTAAGTACATTTACAAGGCAGCCATTATGGAATTCCTCCTGGCTTTTTAATTTTTTTACAGCATGTTTAAATACCTTTCATCACAAAAGAAAACTCTTGCCACATTAAAATGTGTTACCCTATTTTGCCTGTTTACATGCTTTTCTGTTATGGTGTTTCTGGAATTAAACTAGAACCAACAGGTGATAATTTCAGGGAAACAGCTGTTTGTTAAATGTTAGGGCAAGCTTTCAGTGAGATAAATTTGACAATGGAATGGTTGCCTTGCAAGATGATGGGATCTCCTTTGCTGGAAATTTTTAAATGAAGGCTGAACAGCAATTTTCTAGGGACATTGAAGTTCTATCCTGCACTGAATGGTTGGAGCAGAAGACTTCCGACACACTTTCTCACCCTATGATTCTATTGTTTATAATGGGGGGGAGTATCATTTTCTCCACAATTCTTAGATACTACACTAAATATTTCATTGTGCACATAGATTTTGCAGGAAATTATTCTGCAATAACCCTTTGGGTGTGAGTCTAGTGAACAGGAACCATTTGACATTTCATTAGCTGTTTTCCCTCTGAAATGACTATGATTTGTTAGTTTTTGCAGGTAATTATTGTTTTATGGCCTTGTTCAGATTTCCTTTTATATCCAGGGACCAGAGAGCTACCATAAAAATAATACATAATTTAATGTCTATATTGCCTCTTTCTGATGTCACTCCATGAAACTGTAAAATATTACTTAGTAAAGTTTTGAAAAAAGAGAACTTTAAATTGCATCCTGTTTTTTAGCAGAGCAATGATATGTTCCAGTATCCTCCCAGATGAAAATTTGTGGAGCTCCATGGACAATGGACTCTCCTGGGGCTTGCCCATCCATGACACGCTATTGCCCAAGTGAGCAGTGGAGCTGTCTGTCTGTTATTCTGTCTGTCCTCCATCACCTCTGCATTTCTTGCTGAAAGAGTTATTGTTTACATGTTATGTCCATACATGGTATGCCTGGAGTACATAAGTCACAGTGGGCACCTCACAATGGCTCACATCATTCAGGGCACTTGCAGATTGTGTGTATGATAGAGTGGTGTAACATCATTTTGGTGATTCCTTCTTGTCATGCAGATTTGTGCTTCCATGCATGGTTACATTGGGGACATTTTTGGCATGCTTCTCTGTTGGCAATATTGCTACGGATCCTGGGGAAGTGCCTCGTGTCAGGGTCCCAACAATATACAGTATCTTCTTTGCTATGCTGCTGTTTTCTTCTACGTAAAGATAACAGCATTCTGGATTTAGAAGCAGTGGACCGGAGGTGGGACCATAGGAGGGTGCTGAATGCATATCCTATATCCATTTAGCTAGGACTAAGCCCTGTGGAACTCAGTGAGACTTACATCTAAATATACATGTACAGTATAAGATTGTGCAGGAAATGCATTAAGGAGCACACTAAAGCAATGCAACTTTGTCTCCTAAAATAAGTCAGCTCAGAGGCGTTATTTGCTAAAACAAGGAAGGGGAGAGCAATCTGGACTTCCTAGGCCTGCTTTTACCTCCAATCAACCATGTATGCCACTTTTAACACCTTGGAGAAAAAGGTGGGACGTAAAGGCAGTAAATAAAAAAAATAATTGTTGAATTTTAAACATATTTTATTTTTTATATATTGAATGTTTTAGTTGTTGCTATCTTCCTTGTGTGAGTTGTCCCCTTAAAATTGGCTTGTAAATGATATCATGAATGAAATGAAATCTGACTCCTCTTTCTACAGAATCTGTTGGTCTCTTGGCCCTTTCCGTACATTTGTAGGTTCAAAGCAGTACAGCCAATTTCAGCCCTTCTGTCTTTCCTCAGTGATTTTGGGGTGTGTGGTC